TAAAAGCCATATCACAAACAAATTAGAGAAACACGGAAAAAATTAAATCTACAGAAAGTTTAAAGGGGAAACAACAGGGAAAACTTTGCAGTTAATTTCTCTGATAAAGGTCTCATTTCCAAGATAAGGAGGTGATTCAATTGATAAGAATGAGTCTTTTCTCCAATTGATAAATGATCTAAGAATAAGATCAGGCAGTTCTCAAGGGAAGAAACCCATGCTATCTGAAGGCATATGAAAAAATGTTCCAAGAGGAAATACAAATTAAATCTTAAGATTCTATCATACCCTCCAGAGTGGCAAAAATGACGGAAAACAAATGTTGGAAGGGCTGTGGGAAAACAGGCACATTGATAAGCTGTTGATGGATCTATAGGTATGACCATTCTGGAAAGCATTTTAAAATTGTACATAAATAATACAGTTAACGCTTTTTGACCATGTTGACCACTTCTAAGCCTATTCATAAGACATCAAAGAAGAAAAGGCCCTGGATGTACAAAAATAGAGCTGTCAATATGATATTAATGGATGTGTGCAGCTCAAACCCTACCTTCTGCCAAGGGTCCTTTTTCTGGTCCCCAGCTTAGCACCACCATAAACCTCCCCCCACCCCAGTTGCTAATGCCTTCCTTTCCACAATTATTTTGTATATACTGGATTTTTGTTCAGCCGTGTCCAACTCTTCATTTGGGATGTTCTTGGCAGAGATAACTGCAGTGGTTTGCCATTTCCTTCTCCAGCTCATACTACAGATGAGGAAACTGCGGCAAACAAGGTGAAGTGACTTGCCTAGGGTCCCACAGCTAGGAAGTGTCTGAGGCTGGATTTGAATTGGGAGAGATGAGTCTTCCTGACTCAAGGCCCGGCAGTCTGTGCACTATGGCACCACTTGGCTGCTGCATGTACTAGATAGAGTGCTGTTTTGGAAGTGAGGAAAAAACCAAAGTTTGAATTCCTCTTTGTGACCCTGGACAAATCATTTAACCTCCCTAGACTCAGTTTCCTCATTTGTAAAATGAAAAGGTAGACGATATCTAACATCCCTTCTAGCTCTAGGGTGGACTTTATGTATCTGATATCTGCACATGTGGTCTTCTCCAGTGGAATGGAAGCTCCTCAAGGGACTGGTTTTTGCTTCTTTGTATCCCATCACTTAGCACAGTGTCTGGTATACAGCAGGCACTTAATAAGTGCTTATTGAATGATACTGAGTTCTAAGATCCCATACTTGTATTATGCTATTACCAACAGTAACGATTGTACCAATTGGGATGAATCTTATTTTGGTTCAGATCTGTGGGGGAAGAGATATATATAATAATACATTAATATATTAAATTATATGTAATATGTATTATGTATGATTATATATAATATAATAAAATATGCATTTACATAATATCTGCAGCAACAATATTTATATATGGCAGGGGTGGAGAACCTGAAGACCTCGAGGTCTTCAAGTGCGGCCCTTTGGATTCAAATCTATGTTTCAGGTACTGTGCTAAGCTCTTCACAAATATCTCATTTGATCCTTATAACAACCTTGGAAGGTGGGTACTGTTATCCCCATTTTACAGATGTGGAAACAAGGCCTAGGGACATAAAGTGACTTATAGGTTCCTAGGTTTACAGCTAAAAGGCACCCCAAAGGCCATCTAGTACAATTCCTTCCTTTAACCGAGAGGGAGACTGAGGGACTTGACCAGGATCTCACAAATAGCAAATGTCAGAGCCAGAAGGTGACCCCAGGTCTTCTGACTCCAGAAAGATCACTATATCCCTTGTACCATAAGACGTCCATGGGCTTTTACTACTTCAAGAATGACAAGTCAAAGTAGGTTAGTCCATCTATCAACACAGGTTCTAAGACCCCACCCCTACCCCCTCCTCCTCTCCCTCACTCCCTTGCCCCAGCAGCCCCCCTACGACTTAGGGAACATGTTCCTTAAGAGTTGCTGTCCCAGAAAAAAAAAATCCTCCCTCTGTGGCCAACTCTACAGAGCCTCAGAGGACCACTACATCGTCCCTCTGCACCTGGGCCTGTATTCGAAGTATCTCCAATTCAATGAGGAAGGCTTGCCAGAATGTTCCCTTCACAGGGAGAGCCGTCGGGAGCCTGTAAGTAGGACATCAGTGGAAAAAACGCTCTCTTACAGATTTTATCTACCAATACAATTATTCATAACAACAATAATGGGTCAGAAGTAGACTGGAAACAAACAAAACAATAGCTAAGGTCTGTTATGTTTTAAATTAGCTCTAATATCATAAGTAAAAATGCTTTTCAGTTGCACCCCTAACCAAGAATCAGAATTCTAAAGAAATTTTCATAGAAGCCATGTGGAGACAGTCTAGTAGAGAGGAGAGCCCTGGACCTGAGTTCAAAGCCTCCCTCTGATACTTTCTACCTGGGTGACTTTGGGGACGTTCTGCTCTCAGACCCTCAGTTTCTTTATGTGTGAAATAAAGGGATTGGGTCAGAGGTCCCTCTGAGGCCCCTTCTATGATCTATCATCCTTCTCTTGATTTCTTAGGACTGTCCTGTGTGACTTTGGGCAGATTACTTCTAATCACTCTGACCCTCGCTCTCTTCATCTGTAAAATAAAAAGGTTGGTCTAATGGACCTCCGAGGTGCCCTCCTGCTCCAGGTCTATGCTCCATCTCCTCTCCCCCTACCTGAAGCATCATGCAATGAGTGGTCACCAAGCTTGCACTTGTATGATTCCCAGTGACAAGAAACTCAGCTAAGTCATTCCACTTGGGGACAACTTTCTAGTTTAATAAGTTAACTCTAAGCTTGAGCCAAAATTTTCTTCTCTAATTCCACCTTAGTTCTGAACAAAGTCTTACCATCACCCTTTCACAGGATAACTCTTCAAATACCTGAAGACAACTCCCCCATCTCCCCATAAGAGTTCCCCGAGAAATATCTCAAGTTCCCTAGATCATGATTCTAGAGTCAGAAAGGTCTTTCAAAGTCATCCAGTCTGACGCTTCATTTTACAAACAGGGAAACTGGGGCCCAGAGAATCACAAGGTCCCACAGTAATTGGAGCAAGGGTTTGAACATAATATAGATATTCTGCTGCCAATTCCATCACTCTTTCTGCAGCATCTGGGCATGATTTTGCCCTCTTCTTCATCCTTGTGTCCATCTGCCTCTCCTAAAACACAGGACCTTAGAACTAAGCAACATCCTCCAGAGGAGACCTGACCAGGGAATCTCTAAGACACGGGCGAATTATTCAGAATGTTCTATTTCTATGACACCCGAGAGCAAGAAGATGACAGCTTTTTTGGCTGTGCCATCACAAGAGTGGACTGCCTGAGCCCACAGTCCACTAAAGGCCTGGCTTCTCACACTAGCCACTTCCCCTGTGACCCAGGGATTTTTCTAATTGTCTAATTAAAGGAATTCACCAGAGGGGAATTTTTAAATAGCAGCTGCTTAACCCAAGAGAATTTCTCCTCAGTAGAATATGGCCCTGAGACATTTCTGAACAAGGTAGCCTTCTGGAGATCCCCGACTCCCCGGTGCTGATGCTGAACCCGCCTGAATCTAGAATCCAGTGTTCCAAAGCAAAGGTCCAATCGTGTCAGCCCCATACTCGATACACTCCAGTATCTCCCTGTTGCCTCCAGGATCACGTACAAAATTCTCTTTGGGGCATTCAAAGCCCTTCATGATAGAGCCACTCCTCCCTTTCCCATTTTCTCCCACGTTACTGCCTTACACCTTCTCTTTGACAGCAATACTGGCCTCCTGGCCACTCCTCAAACAAGACGCTCCATCTGCAGGCTCCAGGCATTTTCTCTGGCTGCCCCCCTCTCCCTCTTCATCTTTGCCTCCTGCCTTCCTCAAAGTCCCGACTAAAACCCTGCCTTTTACAAAAAGCTTTGTCTATTGCTGCTCAGTTATTTTCAGTTGTGTCCCACTCTTCTAATGCCATTTGAGGTTTTCTTGGCAAAGATACTGGAGTAGTTTGCCATTTCCTTCTCTGGCTCATTTTACAGATGAGGAAACTGAGGCAAACGGCGTTAAGTGATTTGCCCAGGGTTATACAGACAGTAAGTGTCTGAGGTCACATTTGAACTCAGGCCTAGGGCTCTGTGTATTATGGCGCCACCTAGTGGCCCAACAACCTTTAATTCTAGTGCTTTCTGCTGATTATCTCCAATTCATCTATGGCTTTTTAAATTGTTTGCAAAAGCCCCGTCCACTCTATCTCCTCACCAGCCTCCTCACACCAGAGCTTTCATCTGTCACCTAGACTATTGAAACTGCCTCCTCCCGGTCTGGACTCCATTCATTCTCTTCCCACTCCAGTCTATCTTCCATGCAGCTGCCAAAGTGAGCTTTCTAAGGCCCAGGTCTGACCGCGCCACTGCCGTGCTCCAGAAACTTCAATGCCTTCCCGTTGCTAACAAGATGAAATACAAACTCCTGTTTGGCAGCCTGAGCTTTTTAGAATCTGACTTCAGCCTATTTTAACAGGCTGATTCAAGGATTAGGGGTGGCTACCTACTTGGGCAGTGCCCTGCTATCCAGGAAATACTGAAAGAGCCGGAAGATCTCCCATGAACTGTACAAATTCTCTACAGAGGACCCATTAAAAGACAAGGGCAATGAATGAACCAGAGAAGAGACTGAATGGTGATGGGTTGCAATCTGCACCAGTGAAGGGAGTACCACATCAATGAGATTATGACCATACTGCTGCACGGATATAATAATTTATGTAGTGCTTTCCATGTTATATCACTTGATACAATAACCCAGTGGTATATGCTACTGTAATCTCCATTTTACAGATCAAGAAACTGATGCTGAGAGATTAAATAACATATTCTTTCTCCATATATATATATATATATATATATATATATACATACACACACACATACATATATATACACATTCCCCTTTTTTTCTTTGTTATGTTGAAATGTTAAGTACATGATCAAAAAAAGAAAATTTTACAGAGTCAACTACTGAGAAGTCAACACAAAAGTTTTAATTCCAAAATATTTTACGTGTAATTTACATTATATCCAGAACCAACTTAAATAGCTTCCAAAGTACATTGCAAAGGCTGAGGAGAGTTCATTCAAATAGTTCTCAGGTCACACAAGTCATACCACAAATACAGCTGAATTTACTAATGTTCATGGAGAACCCCGAGCGTAAGGAAAATGACTGTCCGCATGTATAAAAACACAGTGAAAGTCTCTGCGTCAAATGCTGCCCGTGGAGATCACTCCTGATGAGAAATCTGATCTCGCTCTTCTCTGGTTTTCAGCCCCAGAAGCTCTGTCTTGAGTTCACCACGTTTTGGGGGGACTTCAGGTACAGTCTGAAAAGAAATCACATACATCACTACTGTGCCTCAAACTACAATGACAAGGCAGCAGCCAGAGCCAGCATCCAAATCCAGTGGGTACAGGTAACTTCACAGAGCCCTTTAAAACGTGCAAAACACCTGACATGTATTACATATACTACCTCATCTACAAACATTTAAGCGTCGCTTGGCAGAGCAAGGAGGGGACCTTGGAGCCAGTTAGACCTGGGTGAAGGCTGGGCAAGTCACTTGACCTCCCGATGCCCAAGGCAATTCTCCAAGGTCCGTGTTCTTGATGATCTAAGGGTGTGTGTTGGGGGCCCCCTGGTAATTTCTCTATCCCCCCCCAAATGTCTGCTGATTGATGGGTGAGTCCCTCATTAGACTGTGAGCTCCTTGAGGGCAGGGGCTGTCTTTTGCCTCTTTTTGTATCCCCAGTGCCTGGCACATAGTAGGTGCTTAATAAAGGACAGACAGGGAGCCTTTTCTATATGACCTTGTCTTAGCACCAAGGGCTTGGAAAGCGCTAAATAAATGTTAGTTGATTGAAACACGAAGAGAACAAGACAGCCGCCCACCCTCACTCACCAGATCGGGTCGGTAGTGCCTGTGCACCACTTCTGCCCCCGCCAGCATGGCCGCCATGCTGGCCGCCACCATTTTCAGGTACGTGGGCCACGGCACGCCCGCAGGCATGTCGAGCTCGGGGCGGGGCTGGGTCCTGCAAAGTCAACAGACAGTAACTAAGGCGCAAGCTGGGCAGCACCCCCCCCCCCGCAACGGGGGTTCTGGCTACGCATCCACTTTTAATCGACTGATCAATTGATAACAGGGCACTAAGAACCTACTAAGTGTTAATCCCAGCGCTAAGCAATGGATGCTTGCTTGAAAGACCCGGCTTTTGGAACGCAGCTCCTGGGGGGCCGGGCCGGAAGGTCAAGGTCAGCTCAGTGCAGAGCCTTCCGGGGCCTGGCGGTCTGCAACACGTGCTCTAGTTTAAACCGCAACTCACAGGCAGAACCTCGAGACTGGCTGCAGCCCAAGCTGGAGCCCGGGCGGCGGCGCGCGCACCCCGGGGAGCCCCTGGGTGCAGCTCGCGCGAGCCCGGGCAGGAAGGTTCTGGGCTGCGCGCGCACCCCGGAGGAGTCAGTCCGGACGGGAGCGCCAGAGTTGCGCGCGCACCCCCGAGGAGTCAGTCTGCGCCGGAGGGTCTAAGGCTGCGCGCGCACCTTCGCTGGGCCACTGGCTGCGGCGAGTGCGAGCCCGAGCAGGAGGGGCCGAGGCTGCGCGCGCAGCAACCAGAAGTCAGCCCCGCGGCGCGCCCGGTCCCTAGGCGGCGTAGCAGGGCCGCCAGAGTTCTGCCCCAAGCCACAGTTCCCAAGGGGCCCAAGGGCGGCTCTAGGGGCGCAGTCAGGGGCGGGGCTCGCGGCTGCTGCTTCCGCTTCCGCCCCGGATTGGCGTACACGTGGGCCACGCCCCCTCTGAAAAACCTCCGCAGGATCGGAGGCTGCTTTGGAGAATGAGAAGGGGTTCGGCCGTGCGGGCCACGCCGCCTCCGCCTGGAGCTGTTGTTCAGTCTTTTTCAGTTGTGCCGGACTCCTTGTGACCCGGTATGGGGTTCTCTTGGCAAAGTACCGGAGTAGTTTGCTGTTTCTTTGGACGAATGAGTAAACTGAGGCAGACGGGGTTAAGTGACTTGTCCAGGGTCTCCACGTTTTGTACTGAGGTCTTCCTGACTCCAGATATCTTTAAACACAAGTTACCCATCTCTTTTTAAAGACCCTCAGTGAGGGTGAACCTCTCAAGGCCATCATTACAATTTTGGACAGCTCTCATTTTTCAGGAGGTCCTTCTGCGCATATCAAACCTAAAATTGCATATTTTTTTTTGCAACTCCTACCCATAGTTCATTGCTCTGCTACATGACAGCCATTCAGATCCTTAAAGACAGCTAAAACTGCCGCCCCGAGGCATCTCCTCCGGCTAAATATCCCCCAATTCCTTCAACTGATCCTTGTCTGAGGTCTATCCACCAGCAAGGCCCTTCACAATCCTGATTGCCCATTTCTAGTCGCTTTCTGGTTTATCGATATCCTTAAACTGTGGTCACCCACAGCTCAAACCCAATTCGATCAAGACTCTTGTAACTGGTGCAGATTGATTATTCAGAGCTCCATGCATGCACCAGTCAGGAGCAGAATTCCTGAGACCTTGGGAGAAGAAAAATCCTGGTCTTCTGGCTTCCAGCTTTGAGATAGGAGATATGTGATTCCACACTCTCTTCAGGTTCCTGAAGAAAGAGAAAGACCCTCGGAAGAAGCCAACATGTACAGAAGCTGGCTTTTCAATTATGATGTCCTATCTCCAACTTGTCATGCTAGAGACTTTTTGGGAAAATCTCCTTGGGTAATATTAGTGACTCTATATTTTGGTTGAACTAAGTTATCTCATCTCCAGTGGGATGGCTCATTCACTCTATGTATTGTTAGCTGTATTCTCATCTGCAAAAATTTTATGATTTTTGTTTGCTGCTGGCTTGGATAAATGGGTTTCCTTGCTACTTGCTACATGTGATCTTTGGAAATTGGCATTTGATTGGAAGGGAGTCAAGCTTTGGATATATAGCTTGGGACACTCCTTCCCAGTTATGGAAGGGTGATGAGTTCAGCTTGAACATGAACATTATTTTCCCTTGACTAACAATATTTAGATGGAGAAGAGACATATATATTATTCTAGCCCAGTATTATTCTTTGTCTGAGGACAATAAAGTGGCCAGCCTCTGGCTCCAACCAATCTCCTGCTTCCCTTCTTGGCAGGAATCAAAGTCTCCTTTTGAATAGGATGGGGAAAGACACTCTAGAGATACCTATTCATGCTTCCCTTGAAGCTATATTTAGACAAATCCATGATTACACATATAACCTAGACATGCAAAATTATGTGATAAAATGCTGAATTTGGAGAAAACCTGAGTGCAAATCTTACATCAAACACATCCTGGCTGTGTGACCTTGGACACATTACTTAACTTCTTTCAGCCTCAGTTTCCTCATTTATAAAATGGGGATTTAAGAGCACCTAACTCCCAGGAGGGTTGTTGTGAAGATCAAGTGAAGTACGGTGCCAACGGCTATATAAATGCTGTTATTATTTTTATTGTCACAACTATGCGCAGTACTCCAGAGGTGGCAGGGTACTCCAAGGCAGAGTACAGAGTGATTATTACCTTCTTATTCCTGGAATAGACCTTTTTTTGGCTGCCACACCTTATTGAATGTACAATCCACTAGAACCCTCAGCTGGTGAAAAAAAAAAAAGGGGGGGTGGGAGCAGCAAGGTGGTGAAGTGGATAGAGCACCAGCCCTCCAGCCTCAGACACATAACACTCACTAGCTGTGAGACCCTGGGCAAGTCACTTAACTCCAAATGCCTCACCAACACAAAACAAACAAAAAAAACCCAACCTCCTTCCTAACTGTATCTATCCTGTATTTATGAAGTTGATTTTTTGCCTTAATTTATCCCTATGGAATTCCCTCTTATGAGATTCAGCCCAGTGTTCTGGCCTGCCAACATTCTTTTGGATTCTGACTCTGTTATTAGCTATCCTTTCTGTTTTGTGTAATTTGCTAATCTGATGCACCTACCATCTATGTCTTTATGTAGGTAATTAATATAAATGCTAAATAACACAAGGGGCAGGCATAGAACTCTGGCCAAGTCAAGATAGAACCATTAGGAACTACTCTGAATCTGGCATTCAAACAGTTCTAAATCCATCCAATTGTATTATCATCCAATCTATGTCTTCTCCATAAGAATAGTATAAGATAAATTATTAAATGCTACTAATTATTCCACAGAGGTAATTGATTTATTGATTGCTTTCTTAATGGGTCTAAGGGCTGGAGGGAGACAGAATTTGGAATTTAAAAATTTTTAAATGAATGGTAAAAATAAATTTAAAACAACAACAAATGCTTTGCCAAAATCCAGGTAAACCATAGCCATAGCATTCTCTGGATCAGCTAGTTTTGTAACCTGTCAAAAAGAACATAGCTCAGGCTGGTATGACTTGTTCTGGATGCCACGCCTATGGCAACTTCTCCTTTCCCCAGGACCTTTCAAATATCACTGACAATTGCATCAATTAACAAGTTTTAAAAAAAATTATTTAGCCTTTCTGGTCCTCAGTCTCCTCAATTGTAAAATGACCATCTTCGATTAGATATCCTCTTTAATGACCCTTCCAGCCCTCTGTTCCTATGAATTATCTTTTGGGGGCCTCAGTTTCTTTCCTTATAGCTGGCATTTTCAGTATATAGTGCTTAGTACGATTTACAAATATTATCTCATTCTATTCTCATAACCCTGAGATGTATGTGTTATTTTTCATGTCCGTTTTATAGACGAGTAAACCGAGGCAAAGATTAAGAGAGTCATCAGCTATTAAGTGTCAGAAGCCTGTTCTGATTTTCTCGATTCCAGGTCCAGTGTGAATGTACAATCTTTACACTGTCCCATCTAACACTATATAAATCCTAATCATTATTTTTAATCTGGCATTGGTAAATTTGAGGTTTAGCTTTAATACTTTGGATTATATGACCGCATGATCCCAGCAGCTCCAAATACTCCAGTTTGTGCAGCCTGCGTATTCCATGTTCTGCTAGGATTTCCCACAGCTTGGGCAAACAGGTCCAGTGCAGAGATGCTGAGAGACGCTGACGTCACGCCCATCCTCCTCCCTCCCCCCTTCCCTTTTTCTCCATCCCGAAAGCCCTTGAGGTAAAGCTACTGGGCCGGCCATCCCAGAAGGAAGCCGATTGGTCGGCTCCTCGCACCACGTGTACGCAAGCTGCTAGCGGATTGGCTGCCGGTTGCCGAAAGGAAGGAGTGGAGAGTTTGACGGTGGCAGAGGGGAGCGGCGAGAGGGAGGGGGTGGGGCGTTCTCGGAGGCGGAGTAGAAGCTCTGGGTTCTGTCTTGAGCCTGTCGTCTCCTTCCAGCCATCCATCCATCTACCTGTCCGGCCCGGCCCGTGACGGTGCCCTCCGCCTCGGTAGGGAATCGGCAGCTCGTTGGTTAAGAAAGGGAACAGCTGGCTGGAAGGGCGGCGGGAAATGGAATTCGAGGACCTGAGCAGGTACGTCTCGGGGCTTGGCGAGGGGAGGGCTACTGCCCCCATCCTCCCCCCCCCGATCCGGCCCCCCTCCCATGGGCGCATGCGCAGGAGACGGTCTTTAAATGCCCCTCATCCTGGTACAAAGGCGGAGGCCGCGCGCGTGCGCAGTCGCCTGGCCCTTCCCCCATGGAACGTTGGCGTCTGATCCCCACCCCCGCTTTTTTTTTTTTACCTTCCGCTCTTTAGCCAGCTTTTATTAAAGCACCTACTAGGTGTCAACCTACCTGTTGGAGTCTGATCCCCCTCCCCCGCACATCCCCACCCCCTTCTCTCTTTTTTTTTTTTGCCAGCTTTTATTAAAGCACTTACTAGGCATCAACCTACCTGTTGGAGTCTGATTCCCCACCACACACACACACACACATCCCCACCCCCTCTCCTCTACTTTTTTTTTTTTGGTGGGACAGCTTTTATTAAAGCACCTACTAGGTGTCAACCTACCTGTTGGAGTCTGATCCCCCTCCCCCCTCACGTCCCCACCCCCTCTCCTTTTTTGGGGGGGAGCCAGCTTTTATTAAAGCACTTACTAGATGTCAGCCTACCTGTTGGAGTCTGATTCCCCACCACACACACACACACACACACATCCCCACCCCCTCTCCTCTCCTTTTTTTTTTTGGTGGGCCAGCTTTTATTAAAGCACCTACTAGGTGTCAACCTACCTGTTGGAGCCTGATCCCCCTCCCCCCCCAACCCCCCCCCCCCCCCCCCCCCCGCTCCTTTTTTTTTTGTGGCCAGCTTTTATTAAAGCACCTCCTAGGTGTCAGCCTCCTGTTAGGTGCTGGAGGATGCGGAGATGGAATAAAACTCGTCCAAGAAGCCTTTGCCCGTTCCCCTCAGCTGATCCTGCTCAGTTTCCCCAGCTCGAGCCTCTAATGTGTGCATGTTGTCTCCCCCATTAGACTCCAAGCTCTTTGAGGGCAGGGAGGAGTTGGGCGTTTCTTTGTGTCTCCAGCTCTTAGCACAGTGCCTGGTACGTAGTTTTTTTTTTTTAATAGATTTAAGCTTCTAAATTAAATTAAGCTTTTAAATTTAATTTAGCTTAAGCTTTTATATTTCACTTTAGCTTTTACAGTCAATTTAACCTAAGCTTTTACATTTGATTTAACTTAAGCTTTTAAATTTAATTTAAGCTTCTAAGTTTAACTTAAGCCTTAAAATTTTAATTGGAGGCAGCTAGGTGGTTCAGTGGGCCTGGAGTCAGGAAGACTTGAGTTCAGGAGCAGCTTCGGATGCTAGCTGTGTGACCCTGGGCATGTCACTTAACCTCTGTTTGCCTTGACCCACTGGAGAAGGAAATGGCAAACCACTCCAGTATCCTTGCCCAGAAAATTCCATGGACAGGAGGCTCCACAGAGACATGAAGAGTGGGCTAAGACTAAACAAGAAGCTTTTTGGATTTGATTGAAGCTTAAAAATGATTATTGACCTAAAGCAGCCCTTGTCTTCAAGGTACTTACCTCTCCCGATTGAGTTTCTTGATTTTTTTCAAATAGGAATGATAATAACACCTACTTTACTGGGTGTTGTGAGAAATCAAATTATGGTTGTTCCAAAGGCCTTCGTGCTGCTTTAAGCTTTAATTGTTTAAGGCCTAAATAACTTAAAACTCTATTAAGAATTTTAGAACACCTTGAGTGAAAAGTACCTTGCAAAGGTTAAAGCCTCCATAATAGATAGCCTTTCCTGGTAGAGATTAGAAGGGACCTGTGACTTTATTGTCAGTCGGTCAGGCCTCCTTATCTTCAGTGTAAGAGGCTTTAGACTGTTGCCTGAGACTGTTTAGACTCCTCCAGGGGCTGCCACCATTACTGTCTTGAGATTGAATTGAACCCAAGTCTGACTAGAGGCTGGAGCCTTATTTACAGTACCACCTGCCTGTCCAAGGGTTAATTTGTGGTGGTATTATATCTGTAAGTAGATGAACAGATACAGGAGAACCCTGGTCTTCTGAGTCACCTCCACCTCTTTGGGACCCCGTGGGGTTTTCTTGGCAAAGATACTGGAGTGCTTTGCCATTTCCTTCTCCAGCTCATTTCATAGATGAGGAAACGAGGCAGACAGAGTGAAGTGACTTGCCCAGGATCCCACAGCTAGTAAGTAAGTAAGTAAGACTGGATTTGAACCCGGGTGTTCTTGACTCCAGGCCTAACACTCTATGCACTTCATCACCTAGCTGGCCCAACTCTGATCTAGGCGCCTGCTGTCGTAGAGAGCAATGGGGTGGGAGGGGGAGGTACTAACTCCCTATACTTCTCTGTATTCTTTGATCCATTTGACGGGTGGTCTCTTTCAGTTCCCTGGACTCTATCTCTTGGCTCCTGGCATTTTCCCTGGCTGTTCCTCCTGCATTAAATGTTCTCCTCCTCATCTCTGCCTCCTAGCTTCTCTGACCCCTTAAAATCCCAGTGCCACATCCTCACCTTCTATAGGAGGCTGTTCCCACTCGCTCTTAATTCTAGGGCCTTTCCTCTGTGTGTTATTAACTATTTATCCTGTATATATCCTGTTTGTACGTATTCGTTTACTTGTCTCCCCTGTTAGATTGTGAGCTCCTGGAGGGCAGGGACTAGCTTTTGCCTTTCTTTATATCCCCTAGCACTTAATACAGTACCTGGGCCTTTAATAAATGCTTATTGACTGATCTGGAAAGGACTGAACACTGGGTGTCCTTAAAGCTTTTAATAAAAAAAAAATGAAAAGAAAAGAAAAGAACAACACTAAGACTTTGGGACACTGTTTCCGTTGACCCAGGCTGAAACAGCAAGATGGAGGATGAATGTGGAAGGCAGTAGTGAGGTGGGAAGCCCGTTAAGAGTGAGATTGTCTGAGTTCAAATCCCACCTCTAGTCTTTGAGAGCGGTTTGCCCTGGACAAGGCACTTTTCCCTGACCCATCAGTCGTGCCTGCAAACCAGGGGTATACAGTTGTGCTGCTGTGTTGTGAGGAGAGGCTCGATAAACCTCAAAGCCACAGAAGTTTGAGTGCCTGTAGTTGAGTGTCAGATGTCCTGGATTGGGTGTACTGGGGATCCCATGCCAGAACCGTTTGGCAGTAATGACATACTCGATCCTCACCTGATGTAACAGTGTTGATCAGAAACCATCTTCATCCTCATTTTCTCCTGCAGTACATATACTCATCCTGCATGACCTTCATCTGTCCTACCATAAATCTTTTTTCAAATAAGTTTTTTTATTATTATTACTTATCATTTTAATTTTCTGTTTCTTACATCACTATAGCTATCTCCTTTTTCTTATCAGTGGTTTTCTTAAGGTATAAGCTCACTTAGTGGAGTTTAAAAGGTATGGGCATTTTAGTCATTTTATTTGCACATGTTCCAATTTGCATAATTCCAAATTGCTTTCTAAAATGGCTGTACCATTTCACAGCTCCACCAACAATGTATTAGTGTGCCTTTCTTCCCACAACCTGTCCGACATTTGGCTCTTCCCACAACCTGTCTGACATTTGGCTCCTCCCATTTTTTGTCTTTGCCAGTTTTCAAAGTATGAGGTAAAACCTCAGGGTTGTTTTGGTTTGCATTTCTCTTCTTATTGGCAATTTGGAGTATTCTTTCATGTGGTTGTGAATACCTTGTAGTTCTTTTGAGAACTGTTTGGTCATATCCTTTGCCCATTTATCTACTGGGGAATGGATATTAAACTTTTTATATTCATGTGTTAGTTATTTTTCTGTCTTAGATACTAAGCCCTTATCAGAGAGATTTGATAAAAGGAATTTTTCCCCATTCAACCACTTTCCTTCTTCTTATACATGCGTTAATGTCTGTGCAGAAGCTTTTCAGTTTCAACTAATCAAAGTTAATCAGAGTTTTATCTTTTGTGATTGCCTCTGTCTCTTATTTGGTTAAGAATACATCTCTTACCCATACCTGTAAGAGATCCATAAATCTTTTTATAGCGTCTCCAGCTAATATGCTAGGGTCTCTCTCCAGATCTCTTAGCATTGTGTGGCTATCAGTACTGTCAGCAATGCTTTCTGTTTGTTATTAATTATTAAAGTTCAGTTAACAGTAGGATCCTCTTATTTCCTCCAAGTGAAGACTGTACACAGTGCTTATATTGAACCATCTACAAAGGGATATATGAAAATATAGTTTTTGATATTATAAATTGTATTATAATAACTAATTGAACAACCGGTCATAGTCCCAGAGAGAAGGTAATGATTCGTGTCAGAGAGGTGGGAGGGGGGTGTTGTATTCATTGTCAGATGAAGTCATTTTTGAATGTGTTTTCTTTGTCACAAGTTAGGGTTTGGTCTGGAGGTGAGAATCAGATAACTGATAAAGACAAAAAGGCCTGAATAAAATATATGTAAAATAAAAGAAGAGAAATATGGGGAAAATTAACAGTAGTATTTAAAATTTTATCTTTAAGTTTCTTGAACCCAGCCTTTTTGTTTAATGTCATGCAAATAGTTAAGTGAACTTTAGGAAGACCTCAGCTGAAAGAACCTCAAAGGGAATTCTTTTGTAAAATTAATGATAATTTAATTACACAAATAATTACTTCTTAGTTAAATCATTCTTAAGTTGGAGTTTTCATTTTCCAGGTTGTCCTAAATGGGGGCACTAACCTAAGTGGGTTACCTGTGCTGGTAACCTCTGAGAGTAAAATGGGATGTTTTGTGGGAGAGTGGTCATTCCTTTTCTGTTATTACCCTCAATGGTTATAAATGGATTTTAAACAGCTCTTGTTAATAAGCATCTATTTTTTATTTGTTTCATATTTATTTTATATTTTATTTTATAAAATATAAAATGTATTTTATATTTATTGTATTTAATAAACATCACTGGCAGTCTTATTTTTTTCAGATTTCAACCTTCAGAGGTCTGTTAGCCACTAGAAAGTTGGCTCTGAAGTTTAGGTGCATTGTTATCACCGCACAGCTGAACAGCTAAGCCTAGGAGAGCTAGCAGCAGTTCTTTATAGTTCCTTTATTTTTTAACTTTTAATCCCTTTTACAGGGCTTTTAATCACTTGTATAGAATGTACTGGAAAAAAAAATTAAATGCTTGAACAGAGACTTAAAGTGATTTTATCATAACCTATAACGGTGTTATATCACTTATCAGAACATTTTTTTCTGCTGGTATGATTAAATATCAAAACAGATTGAATATTATTGAAGAGAAGATATAGACTTTTTTTTTTAAGGGCAGTTGGGGTCAAGTGACTTGCCTAGCTTGTGGCAAGTGTCTGAGGCCACCTTTGAACTCAGGTCCTCCTGATTCCAGGACCCATGTTCTATGCATTGCGCCACTTAGCTGCCCCTGCAGTCGTCTTTAATGCTGTGGTAGCCAGTCAGATCTGCCTTGAACTGTAAACACATCTTTCTTTGAAGGCATGTGGCCCTTGTTAATTTTGGGGGTCTTTCCAGCTATGGAATTCTGTTACATTTCTAGAAGACCCTCTCCATAGCCCTTAAATATTCTCATTGAAACAAAGATATAAATTCTGGTTACAAAATAGCATGCTACAGTCTTGTTATAACTTCTTACTTAATAAAGTAGTTTAGAATATCATAATGAAAATATGTTCTCTTATTCACTTTTTCTTTTTTTAAGATATTCTTTTGAGCAAATTCAAGCATTTTACCAGTTTCCGTACTACCCAATGATGGCTGCAGCTCCCAGCATGGAATTTATGAATGAACAGCTAGCTCTACCGGAAATTCCAGTCCCAACCTTCGACCCGGAGCCTGTTCAAGGTAGTTTTGGATGCATTGATAGATAAATGAGATTTTAATTAACCAGCCTGTTTTACCTCTAGACAAAGTGTTGTTGACTGATCTTTCTAGGTATATCTTTGTCCTGTTTGTCCTTATAGGGCATTTTTTCATGGCTTGGCCATAGTTTTCCTTCAGACTTCCTGCAAAATATTTAAGTGATGTATGCCTAAAAACTTGAGTGAGATATTAAATCACATTTGTGTAGTATAAAAAAAACCCTAGATCTCATTTTATTTAATTGTTTATGGCTGTTCTCTGAAAGGATATTGGTGAATTCCTTACTGTGTAAAAAAAGTAAAAGGTTGCTTTTACATTGTGACAAAATAGCCTTTTTTAAAAAGTTCTTAGAGCTTAACTTTAACACACCCATTTCTGCCTGATTCTTTACTGCTCAGAATCCACTTTTTTCTTTTTTTAAACCATTTTGAACTTAAAGACAAAAAAAGAACATTCCCATGTACACAGCACAACAGAAGATTCAGTATAAAACCATGAATTTCCATTTCACAGTTTACTTTTTTTGAAAAACTATTTAATAAATACTACACATCATTTTTTGTCTTTATCAAATTTTTCTGTGCTTCCTTCTAAATATTCTTTGTTCTCTACTGTGTACTTTTTTTCTCCTCCCCCTCCCTGCCCTCTGCCTATCCTTAGACAGACAGACACAAAATCATACTATACATACTTCTGTTTAACATTTCTCTACATGTGAATAGCATCTTGCTTTAGAGGCCCTTTGTAGTTGATTTGAGTATTTGTAATATGCAAAATAACTTAGTTATTTAAAGTTGTTCTTAGAACAATGTTATTACTACTGTGTGCAATGTTTTCTTGGTTTTGCACATTTTGCTCTTCATTATTTCATGCAAGTCTTTCCATGTTTTTCTAAAATCAGCCAGCTCATCATTTCTTACAGCACACAGTATTCTATCACAATCATATACCACAACTTATTCCTCCATTCCCCAATTGATGGACATCTCCCAGTTTCCAGTTCTTTGCTAACAAAGAGAGCTGCTATCAATGTTTTAGAACATAAAACTGGTTTTTTTTTTCCTTTCCCCCTAATCTCCTTGGGAAACAGACCTAACAGTGGTATTGCTGGGTCAGAGGGTATACACAGCTTTATAACTCTTTGGGTATAATTGCAGATTGCTCTCCAAAATAGTTGGATCAGTTTACAGTTCCACCAACAGTGAATTAGTGTCCCAATTTTTCCACATCCCCTCTAACATTTGTCGTTTTTCCCTTCTATTATTTTAGCCAATCTTATAGGTATAAGACAATGCCTAAAAGTGATTTTAATTTGCATTTCTTTAATCAATAGTGATTTAAAGCATTGGTTGATATGACTGTATATAGTTTTGATTTCTTCAAACTGCCTGTTCATATCCTTTGACCACTTATCAGTTGGGGAATGATTCGTATTCTTATAAATTTGACAAAGTTCTTTGTATACTTGAGCTATGAGACCTTTAGCTGAGAAACTATCTATAAAAATATTCTCGCAGTTTTCTGTTTGCCTTCTAATCTTGGTTACATTGGTTTTATTTGTACAGAAACTTTCTAATTTAATGTAATCAAAATTATCCATTTTATACCTCACAGTGCTCCAAAATTCACTTTTAAACTGAAAAATAATTTAAATTTCATAAAAGAGTCAGAAGATCTGCAGTGAGCTGTGTGGATCTTTTATAGTGCATTTATGGGAAGACATTGACAAAAAGCATACGTGGTGAGGTGTGTGGGATTTGTAAGCAGCATCAATGTGGAGACCAGAATATCAGGATGAATTTGACTATATACATTGGCAGTATGTTTTTTAAAAAAAGTGGTATGTGTGCCAGCCTGTCTTAATCCAGCTTTGTGGGTAGCAGAAAACTTTGTATCAGTACATAGAATTTTGCTGCTCAGACTAATCAGGAGAAAAAACATAGCCAATCAGCATTAGTAAGGATGCAGTACTCAGATCTAATGGATTTCTATTCCAATTTTTTTTTTAATTAAATTTTAGTACAGGAGTGAAGTACTTTTTTTTTTGTCAACAAAAGCCACTGGTCCTTAAAAGAAAAAAAATCAGTCACCAGCCACATGGATTTAAAAAAAAAACGAAAGCAAAACCAGCACCCACCTGAAATTGATTTCTTTGTATCTATTGTGTTTTTTTCTTTTAATTTTTAGAGAGACATCATTGCTCCTCCCGTCTGCTTTTTACATTAAAAATGGAACCTAGAGCTCTGTTCAGTAACTACATCAGATAATACAGTCTTGCTTCTAAAAGGAAAAATAGTGAAAATATTTTTAAAAAATTAAAATTTTAAATTTTAAATTTTTGAAAGATACTGAAAAGCTGGAGAGCATCCACAGAATGGCATGCAGGGTGGTGAAGGGGCTTGACCTTCTGCTCATGGAGCTAGTGTGCTTGATGTGGAGCAGAGAGCTCTCTGTCTCCCAGTGTTTGAAGAGCTTTCACATGGAAGAGGGATCCCAAGTTGGACTTGACGTGAGGATAAGCTTTGTAACAGTGACAGCAAGCCCTTGAGAAGTGGGAGGAGCAGCAGGACCCTGCCTTCTGGAGGCCTCTAAGAGGAAGCACGAGTGGGGGGCCACCGGGGAGGTCCTTGGCAGAGAGGATTTTTGTTCAGGGGTGTATTGGACTTGACATGCTCGGAATTTCGAGTCCTGGCTCTGACACTGGCTGTGTAACCCTGGTCCGGGGCGGGGATCGGGGGGGGGGGGAAATCTCTTCGCCCTTCCCTATGCTCTCGTTTCCTCATCTGTGAAAAGAGGGCCTAAGCTTGAGAGCTGTTAATGTCTCTTCTAATTCTGAATCTATGATCCTTTGATTCTTTCCAAACCTGACGTTATGTGCAATAACAACATTACGTACAGTTTTATTTTACATTGTATATAATTTTATATACAAAGTATTTTAATGGTTATTGAAAGTTTATGCTTGAAATACTTTATTTTCCTCATTTCTTAGTGAGAAAAAAACTTTGACTTTCTGCTCTGGAAAGTACGAGGTATCCTGTTTCATTTTTAGAGGGAAAAAAAATTCTCTTGGAACACTATCTCCACCCTGTGGCCTTTTAGAATATGGCTCTTTAAGGTGGTTGTATTTTTAAAATTATATTCTCAAATGCTGTTACCTCTTGCTTGCTTTGCAGATTGAATCAAGTTAAGCTAAAGGAGGGAGCATTGCTATCTATACTCTAATGGCTATAAGTGTAATAATTGAGCATTTTTTTAAAGCACTCAAAAATTAAATTAAAGTGTGGTGCAACAGCTAGAGAGCTGGCCTCAGTCAGAAAAACCTAGGTTCAAGTTCTGCTTCTGACACTTAGTGAAGGAGTGACCCTGGGCAAGTCTCCTGAACTTTCAGTGCACCAGGCAGCGTTCTGAGACTACCAGATGGTAGAACGTTTGCTGATCTGTAATGCTGGAAGGAAATTCCGCACTAAGAGTTCCTTTTATCTGTGAAATCATAGATTTCGAACCAAAATGTATGTATTAGGCACGTTATTTATACATTCCTGAACTGCGTACATTCTTATCTGGACTGAGCAAGAGAAACACTGGACTAGGATTCAGTTGTTTCAAGCAGAGTAAGTCACAGGAAGCTAACACCATTAAAAAAAAGTAGTGTGATAGAGTTTGGAGGTACCAGTTATGAAAACAAACCGGTAGGCCTTTGCAGAGCTTGCGCTTCAGGCATTGGAGAACTTTAATAGAAATCTGGGTGCTGGACTTCCTAGGATAGTTCTAGTCTTGGGCAGTACGGTACAATAAAAAGAACACTGGACTTAAGAGTTAAAGGGCCTGAGTCCAAAGCCCAGCTATGCAATGTATTGCTGGGGTGACCTTGGGCAAGTCATTTAACCCCACTGGGCCTCAGTCTCCTCGTGTATATAATGAGGAGGTTAGACTATATGACTGTTAGACTCCTAAAGTGTCTTCCAACTGTGGATCTATAATCTTACATCTTACAGTTTTGACTTTTGAGTGTTAATGGGTTGAATTCACCCATAAAATGGAAGCTTGCCAGACTGGATTAGAAAACAGAGCCCAAATCATTTGCTGCACATGAGAAATGCATGCAAGATATAAAGACTTATGTACAGAGTTCAGAAACAGGGGCCTAAAATAAAATCAATTATACTTTAGGTAAATGTAAAAAGTGGCAAAAATTGCAGGCATGATTTAAGATAAAACAACAGTAAAAATAGATGTGATAGATGAATTTGGAAGAATCACAAAGGATGAGGTGGCATGGACAGTTTGCATCATTGAGCTCACAAATCTATTAAAGTACTACAATTTGAATATTGGCACGTGGAAAATCTTAGTTTCAAGCTTTTCATAGAGCCTACAGTAGTTTATTTGCCGTATAGGCTATCAGTTTAATAAAGTAACACCACGTTTTTCTTGCATCTTTGGGAAAGGAGAGGTTGTTCCACAGAAGTAAATTAGTCTACTAACTTAATGCATGACAAGTAAATTTTTTTTTAAACTTTATGAAGGGAAATCTTTCTTAAAAGTATTTCTTAGTTTCCTATCAAGCATATAGATCAAATAAAATATTTTCTTGAAGATTCAGATTTATTTCTATGAACCAGTCAAAGGCCTGTTATTTGCCAGGTGCTTTGCTAGGCTCTGAGGATAGAGGTTCATAAGTGAGATAGTCATTACCCTCCAGGAACCTATGTTCCGTTGGCCAGATACATCATGTTTGCAGATAAGAAAATTCAGTGTATATTCCAAATAAACATAGAGATTTGGAAAGAATGGGGCCCACTGACAACTGAGAGTTGCCTGCAGATTGGTGAATGAGTTCCCTGCTCAGACCACCATTTCATGAGGGGACGAGGCCATTCTCACTCTACTCCTGCCTCACTCCTCCCTGTCCCGACTTCTCCATCTTTGTATATAGTTTTGTGATGTGATTATGCCACGCTTCAGCGTGTTGGCTCTTCAGTGCCATTTATAGATTCCTTTTATTAGACCTCTGGCCTGAGTTACTGACATTTTAAAATACATAAGGACTTAATGAAGATCCTGTATATGGTGAGCACTGAATTCCATACATCTGTGATTGAAGTGTCAGATATCTACAACCTAAATAATTCCAATGTTTCAGAAGAAAAGGGGAGAAAAAGAAGAACCAGATCATCGGAGCCAAAGCAGCCAGAGCCGAAAAAACGTGCTGGATCCCCTAGAGCAGCCAAGTCAGCAAAATCCAAGGGGAAACAAGAAAAAATTACAGATACTTTCAAAGTCAAAAGGAAAGTGGATCGTTTTAATGGGATGTCAGAAGCTGAGCTTCTGACTAAGACCCTGCCTGATATTTTGACCTTCAACCTGGACATTGTCATTGTAAGTTGGCATCTTCATAAAACTTTTCATACCAGCCTGAGTTTTTTCATTGGGTTATCTGTAATTTACAGGCCTCTTCTGAGATGCTCCGCACTTCAGTGGAAGGATTCATTTCTGAGTGTCCCTTGTGGGGATTATAAGTATCAACTTCTGAGCCACTGAAGGCTGCATTGCAAGAGGCCACTCAGCTCTTAATGTCCAATTTTCCTTTTGAGAAAAAGTTTCACTACTAAGAGCTAAAAGATAAAGAGCACAAAATGTAGCTATTTGCAAAAGTTATCCAGACAGCTCCCTCTTGGCCTCATTCCCCCTCTGTTTTTGCTTTCTCACCCTGCTCCGCATTTCCTAGTATATTCCTGACGTCTCACTTCCTTCCCTTTTAAGTGAGTCGATCAGAGGGTGATGATGGCACAAGTGGGACGGGCATTGAGCCATGAAGTAGGGGCTGCTCGTTGAACCAGAAGCTGGTAGTGAGTGTTCGTGGCTCCACGCCTTCATTTTCTTCCTATAATTTGATTTTGGTCTTTGACAGAGTATTTGAGTTGGAGTTTTGTGAATGTTTAGAAAATAAATTACGAAATGTGATATGCTGGCGTGGAGTACTATTTCTAGCCCGTACTTTATGGTGAACAAAACGTTTTCCCCACAAGAAAACCCTGTGAAATTTTTGCCATTTTACAGACAAGATGATTGAGGCTCAGAGTGAGTGACACGTCCAAGGTCCCACAGTTGATGTCAAAGACTGGACTTGAACTGGGGTCTTCTGATGCTACATCCAGTACTCTTTCCCATCAAATGGTGCCACTTCTTATAAAAGGGCACTGAATTCTTTTCTGATCACCATTCCTTTGAACTTCTCAGTACCACATTGTATAGAAATTTGAGTTTTTTGTGCTTTTTCATTCAAATTTTGATTTAAATGTCTTGAATATTTTTTAAAAGAGCATTGCAATCTTGCATTTAGGGTTAATCTTTAAGTTGGAGCTGTCAGACGTTTTTCCCACAGCTCTCCACAGTGTGCCCTAACCAGATTAAAATAGTAACTGGGAAATATTTAACAAAAGAAATCCAAATACAATAGATAACATTCCCTTTTAAAACTAAGACATTACGCAGCCCATGGGCATGCCTTACATGTGTGATATAATTGATCCAAATTGAAAAAATGATGTAGGACAACAGATTTTTTTTTTCTAAATTGAAATCATTTCCTCAAATTAAGACTAGGAAATTATTTAAAAGCCTATAGTGTTAATCACATTTACTTAAATTTATTTAGACGTATATATTGTTAATTACATTTACTTAAATTTGTCTTTTAATAGATTAACTTTGGCAATAAAGGGTTGATTTGCCTTTTTTCCCCCCCACAAATCATATCTTGATAACTCTAAAATTTTGAACTGTCTTGCTTTCTAGATTGGCATAAACCCAGGACTCATGGCAGCTTACAAAGGGCATCATTACCCAGGACCTGGAAACCATTTTTGTAAGTTGTTCTCTTATTAAGGTTTTATCATTGTTAAGTGTAATTAGCTTTTTAGCTAGATTATGTTTTCTTACCTTAGCCTGGCATGGTGTTGTCACTAAGGTTTTATGATTGTATTCGCAGGCCAGTTCTACCAAGCTAGAAAGGATTAGCCCACTGAGGGACTGTGTTTGCTGTCACAGACCAGCCTAATTGATGTACAGGGATTCATCACGGACAGGAGGGTCACTAGGTGATGACTTTGGGGGGCTTTGGTAAGCCATAAAATTGGTAAAAATACAAACAGCCCCTAGTCCTGAGCAGTCCTGCCCTCTGCTTTTAGAGCAAAAGTAGTCGAGTAGCAGAAAGGTAGGGCAAAGGGCGCTAAAAGCCAGACAGTCCTTAGAATGTCTGCCAAGAACTCTTTTCACTGGATACTTTGAATGCATCATTCTGTCCAGTGACCAGAGAGTTAGAGTGCTAGAATAGCTAACCTCTGTCCATACTGACATTCTCACTGTGAGTAAAAGCAAAGTAGTAGCAGAGTTTTGTCTCTGTGGAAAGGGGGTTCCCAGACTCTTTTCAGAGAGGCAGATCTAGGCTGGAGACAAGATAGCAGCTTACTAGGAAGAAGTATGGCCACATTCCCCTATCAAAATTCCTCCACAAAGATCTTAGACTTGTCATTTTGTAGGTTTAGGGAACTTCCCACGTGAAAACTCCCTCAGAGCCTTCAAGAGTCCCTGCAGTACAGGAGAGTTAAGTGACTTGCCCGTGTTCACATACTTCTTAGGTGTCAAACCCCAAACCTGTGGCACCCCACCTCTAAAGTCATAAAATTACAGGTTCAGACGCTCGCTCTTCTTACCCAAGGAGTACACACGTGTCCTCTGTGATCTGATTTGCCTTTATCTCTGGGTATTTGGGGGGGAGGTGGTGCTATCTATTAGCATGAAGGGAACCCAATAATCAGATGGGTTAGGCCACCACATTTCCAAACATACAATTACGTAGTGCTGGAGTGGTTACCAGAGACCTGGTGGTGCTCCAGTCGTAAGTGACACTTCGCCAGTTCAGCTCAGCTGGTCCACACTCGTGGTTCACCCTGTGATCAGAGGGCATTAACTGCTGGCTCCGTAACAGCTCCCAAGAAATAGGATGCCACAAAGGAGAAGTGTACTGGGATCCGTATCATCACCCAGTAAACAAAGTATCAGGCTCTATTTAAGGCGTTGGATTCTAGGATGTCCTTTTTAAAATCTCAAATGAGAAGAATTCTGGGAGAGGAAGAGGCAGCACGTGTCAGGCAAGTCGAGACGGCCCCCGAACCCCTTGGCCCGTCATCTCCCCTCGGATCTTGGTGGTGACGGCCCAGGACCCTGACCCCAAGTGCCGTGGGAGTGGTAGTACCACACAGCCCACCAGAGCCTCTCCAGGCCAGCCTCTGCCACCATCCTCATGGCCAGAAGTAACGTTTGCTGAAGAATCACCTGAGAGGTGCGGGGCAACAGCCCCTGACCTGGTCCTGCTTTGAGCCCTGCCCTCCCAGCCATCCCCATCAAGTGCCAACCAGCTGCCACCCTGAGGCTAGGCAAGGGCACAAAGGAGGCCGCATGTGCCAGCAGTCAAACCACCAGTAAAGCCTTGACTATCATCTCCCTTCTGACTCCAGTGGAGAAAGCCCAGGACCCTGATCCCAAGAGACTTGAGAACATCGATCGATGCTTCAACCCAGTGCCCTCAGCCATGAAACAGCCCGTGGAGATACACTCTGGGGACTGCTGCTCTTGGGGCTACAGCCGCAGAAGACTCAGAAAAGAAAGCTTTCACCACCAAAGTCCTGGGCTCTACATCAGAAATGGAAATAATTTTATCAGGGGAAATGACATTAGAGAAGAGGTCTGACCATCTACTTTTCCTTTTTTTCCCCATTTAATAGTGTTTTATTTTTTCCCAATTACATGGAAAGATAATTTCAACACTCATTTTTGTAAGATTTTGAGTTCTAAATTTTTGTCCCTCCCTCCCCTCCCCCCTCCCCAAGACAGCAGGCAATCTGATATAGGCTATACATGTATAGTCATATAATCATATTTCCACATTAGTTATGTTATGAAAGAAGAATCAGAACAAAAGGGAAAAACCATGAGAAAACAAAAAGGTGAAATAGCTTGCTTCGGTCTGTATTCAGACTCCGCAGTTCTTTCTCTGGGTGTGGACAGCATTTTCCATCATGAGTCTTTTGGAATTCTGACCATCTACTGTGCCTCTGTACCCTAAGGAGCATGGGCCCTTCCATCTGACTTGGCTGAAGCCTTCTGTGTGAGTGGTCTCCCCATTTATAAAGTGAGCTCCTGGAAAGCTGGGACTGTGTGACTTTTCTATTTGTATCCCCAGCACTCAGGGGAGTGCAGACACTTCATGAATGCTGTTACTCATTCAGTCGACACATAACCCTGAAGCTCTAACAAAAAAGAAGTCTTTTACAAGGAGAACTTTTGTTATAATTGAAAACTAGACCAGATGGCCTCAAAACTTCCATTCTCTTCTATTCTATTTCTACAAATCTAAGATGATAAGAATTCTCCACGTTTGAAATTGTAAAAAGGACATCCTAAAATCCAGCGCCTTAAATAGAGCCTGATATTTTGTTTACTGGGTGATGATACGGATCCCAGTACATTTCTCCTTTGTGGCATCCTATTTCTTGGGAGCCGTTACGGAGCCAGCAGTTAATGCCCTCCGACCACAGGGTGAACCACGAGTGTGGACCAGCTGAGCTGAACTGGCGAAGTGTCACTTATGACTGGAGCACCACCAGGTCTCTGGTGACCACTCCAGCACTACATAATAGTACGTTTGGAAATGTGGTGGCCTAACCCATCTGATTATTGGGTTCCCTTCATGCTAATAGATAGCACCACCTCCCCCCCAAATACCCAGAGATAAAGGCAAATCAGATCACAGAGGACATGTGTACTCCTCGGGTAAGAAGAGCGAGCATCTGAACTTGTAATTTTGTGACTTTAGAGGTGGGGTGCCAGAGGTCTTGGGTTTAAGTCCTGCCTTTGACTAAGAAGTGTGTGAACACAGGCAAGTCACTTAACCCTTCTGTACTGTGGAACAGAGAATATAACCTTGTACCTGGAAGTTAAATATCACACCTTATTTTTTTTTCCTACTCTTTTGTTATAGGGAAGTGTCTCTTTATGTCTGGACTGAGTGAAGTCCAGTTAAATCATATGGATGACCATACTTTACCAGGAAAGTATGGTATCGGCTTTACAAATATGGTTGAAAGGACCACCCCAGGCAGCAAGGATCTTTCAAGGTAGGGTAGTAAACAGTGATTTTTAGTGCTGTAAAATACAGACCTCCTCTTCCACTTAGTATCTTGTTTCCCTGTTACTGTCTCTGCTGCTACAAAACTACGATGCTGTTACTGTTTTTGTTTTAATTCTAAATTAATTTAATTCTAAAATTTGTTTCATTCTAATTCTAAGATGGCATATAACTATTACATGGTCATCTCTTGACTGCTTTGTTGTTCCGTTTTAGTAAAGAGTTTCGAGAAGGAGGGCGCATTTTGGTGCAGAAATTACAGAAATACCAACCTCGAATCGCGGTTTTCAATGGAAAATGTAAGGTTTTTCTGTGCCTGAGCTAACCTTTTGTCATCGTTGATGTTGTTTTCCACAGTCCTACATGTCAGTACGGCTTTGTTTCATTTTAGGTATTTATGAAATTTTTAGCAAAGAAGTTTTTGGAGTAAAAGTTAAGAAGCTGGAGTTTGGACTTCAGCCCCATAAGGTCCCGGATACAGAAACTGTAAGTTCCCCAAACTGCATTTGTTAGCAAACGAATTATGAATGGAAATGACATATTTTTAGTCAGGTTAGCCTTTGTCTTTCCTCTAGCTCATGGTAATTGAGGATAAGAAAAATAACATATTGGTCTAAATAATCTCTTTGAAAGGAAAATATACAGATATGCAGTAGTAACACCGAACATAAATCACATTCATATGTTGTAGAAACCATGTTTAGGGGAAAAAAACTGTTTGGCTCATAGTTGGGCCGATAGGATACACGCATTTGTTTATTTTGCTGAATAGTATCTATTTGATTAAGACTTTTGAACTGTCTACAAATATAAACATTTGCTTAACAGTGTTAGGCAAATGAATTAGGTCCTGTAAATGCAATCAAAAGGTTGAAACCTGCATGTAAACTTCAAGCATATAGTCTCTTACTGACAAGGTAGTTTAAAAAAAACCAAAAACCAAAATTATTTTGATACTAAAAATTTACTTTTTTAAATGAAGGGGGAATTATGATGTTAGTTCTAAATAGTTTTATTTTATAAATTCATTTATCCTGCAAATTTAAAAAAATTTTTTTTTTTTAGGCAATTGGGGTTAAGTGACTTGCCCAGGGTCACACAGCTAGTAAGTGTCAAGTGTTTGGTCTGAGGCCAGTCAGGTCCTGCTGACTTCAGGGCCGGTGCTTTTTCCACTGTGCCACCTAGCTGCCCCTGTCCTGCAAATTTTTATCAGACTTATACTCTGCAGTGCAGTATTCAAGGAAATATTTGCTGTTCAGTTGTTTTCAGTCGTATCTGACTCTCTGTGACCCCATTTGGGGTTTTCTTGGCAAAGATACTGGAGTGGTTTGCCATTTCCTTCTCCAGTTCATTTTACAGATGAGGAAACTGAGGCAGACAGGTTGAAGTGAGTTGCCCAGGGTCACATGGCTAGTGAGTCTCTGAGGCTGGTTTTGTACTTGGAAGATGCTTCTAACGGCCCCTTCAGGCCCTAGGCTCTGTGCACTGTGGTGCCCCCTAGCTGTCTCAAGGGAAGGTAGAAATACAAAGAAACCTGGTCACTGTTTTCAGTGTAGAAATTGAGGACACCTCAGGTTAGACGAGTCCGTGATCATGTGCCTGCCCTTATGTCAGCGGGTTTCGTGAATAATGGTTTCCTTGTCACAGGCGGCAGGTTAATTCTGTGATCTCTTTGCAGAGAAATGCCTTGTTTACTTTATTTCTTTTAACAAGCAGCTCTCTTCCCTCCGAGCCCCATACACATGCACTGCATGCACACACATGTGTGTACATGCACACGTGTGCACGCACACTCTGGGCCTCGTGGATCGGGTTTGGGGGCGGCTGGGGCCGGGTCCTTCTCACTCTAACCTTCTCCTCGTCTCCTCTCATAGCTCTGCTACGTCATGCCATCGTCCAGCGCGAGGTGTGCCCAGTTCCCACGGGCCCAAGATAAAGTTCATTATTACATCAAACTGAAGGATTTGAGAGACCAGTTGAAAGGCATCGTACCTAACTCGGACGTGCAGGAGGTGCAGTACACATTCAACTTGCAGCTTGCCCAAGGTATGTTATCGCTGTGCGGCCTTGGCCTCAAAGGCAGAGACAGCGTAGCCTTGCTTAGGCCAACACACACTCCCATAAGGGGCATTTGACCCTAACCATTTCTGTTAGAGAGGAAGCTTTCGTCTCTTACTTGTCCCCTCTCCTCCCTCCCGGCCTTCCGATTTTTCAGATGCCCCTAAAGCAGGGGGTCATCACTTCTTCACCTTTTGGGGTCATTGCTATCTTATGAAGCCTAAGGACCCCTCAGAATACTGGTTTGGGATCTTTTTTGACGGATAAAATGGAATATATAAGGCTACAAAATAAACCAATTATAGTAAAATATTACTATTAAAATATATTTTTAAAAAACGTACTCATGGATTCCAGGTTAAGAAGTTCTGTCTTAGAGAGGTTGTTTTTGGTTTGTGTTTTTTAATGTGGCAGGTAGGAGTGGGGTTGAAACTAAGAAGCATTCTAATTTGCTTTTAAAGTTACACATAAAGTAGCCAGACATCTTTGAAGTTATTTCTTCTCTGTGATTATAACGTACTGCATTTGGAATCTGCCCCCAAATTACCATCATGGGAAAAGATGTTTGAGGTTATCACAAATGCTCTGTGGTTATCTGCAGAGGTGAATTACTGAGTAACTGTTTTAACGTCAAACTTCCATGAGTAACCATTTTCCAGCCAATGTTCAGAAGGCATTTTAATTTGTTATTCTTCTTACAGAGGATGCAAAGAAGATGGCTGTTAAGGAAGAAAAGTATGATCCGGGCTACGAGGCAGCGTATGGAGGTGCTTACTGTGAAAAGGCGTGTGACGTTGAGACTCCGTGTCCCTTCTCCTCTTTGGACGTGACAGGTAGAGTGAGGCTCCCTTCCTGTGTGTATACACACACACACACACACACACACACACACACACACACTCTCTCTCAATCTCTCTCTGTCTCTCTCTCTCTCTCACGCACTTACTAGGTATGTGACCCTGGGGGTGTCACCTGCCTCTGAGTCTCAGGCAGACTCCTTAGGACTCATTTAGTGAATCTTACATGGGCTGCACTTTGGTGATGGAGGGACTTTGTCCTCCAGGAATCCTTCTACTCCTGTGTTACTGTAAGTGATTGGGTTAGTGATGGCAGAGGCAAACTTATTAATTTAATGTGTAATTAAGGGGAAAAAAAGATTTCTCCTCAGTTATTGTAATTCAAAATAATCCCTGTGACATTTTGATGATTTCCTACCCTGCGCAATTTTTTAAATGGTTTTATTTTCAAAAAGTTAAAACTGAATTTCCAGATGATGAGGGCAGCTCTGGTAAATTCTTTTTTCCCAGAAACCTCTCAGCATCATTAGCTGTCCTCCTTTAAAGGCCTTCAGCTTTATCATCTCAGTCTTTTAGACAGAATAAACTGACACTGATTATTTTTTTCCTGCCTAGGAACAAATAATGCAGCCTTAAGTGTAGAGCCGACCTTTGGGGATATTGTGGGTGATCAGTGGCTGACGCAGTCATTCACAGACCAGCTTCTGCCTTCCTTCAGCCCCTTTGGGAGCTTCGAGCAGGAGGGCGGCTGTGTGTGAGGACGACCTTCGAAGCTCTTCTCGCATCCTGCAGTTTTCATGCAGCTGTCTAGAAGGCGCCTCAGTTCACCAGCTGAAGCATTTTAATAGAACCTTGCTCCTCTCATCATTTTCCGGTAGCCCATTTGTGTGGTAGGATTAACTTTATGAGCTTGATAGTTGGAAACAAATGTAGATCCTTTTGTATGTGAGTTTTTATATTTAATGTATGCCATTGTTTACAGTTTTTGACAAACTGTAGTCTCATTTTTGAAGAAATTATTTCTTTTGAGAGTTGCTTGTAGTCTGTATTTTGTTTTTTTGAACAGCCTGTATATTTATACTTCTTTCTTAAATCTGCTTGTGGCAAGAAATTCCAGAGTCCTTCTTATGCCTGAAAAGCACATTCTGTGCATGATTGTCACGGGTACAGACACAGATGTGTCGCAATTCACATGAGACTTCTCGCCTGATGTCCATGGAGCGTGTGCTTTGGGACTTGGGGATTTTCCAGTTGTGCCGATGAGGGAATCCGAAATCATTTCTTTCCCCACGGTGGGCCCCTTCCCCACGTAGCCAGCGGTTGGCAATTCTTGGCGAGGCAGCCGCCTTCCGTCCTCAGCAGGCCAGCAGCTGGCCACCCCCCAGGAGCAGGCATGCACACAAGTCAGCTCTGGGGAATGCGGGCAGGCTGTGGAAAATTGTGTTTTCAATGGTTCATTTGTCACTTGGCAGATTTTTACTGTGAGGAAGAGCAGAGGTATGTAGTTGGGAGGCAATGACCTTTCTGTCTGGGTGCCTGCCTCTGCTCTCCATGTGGTGAGTGATGGAGCAAAGTCTTGCTCAAAACATTGTTTGGAGGAGGTTCATATAGGTGCTTTTCATACTTGAAACATGCGTAAAATGTGGTGTCTAATAGAATATGATTTCCCTGCTGGTCCTATCTGATAAGCCAGTTGTTTTCATCCCCTTTCTCCACCATAACTCATCTCTTTGGCAAGAATGTCCATTGGTTAGGGTCCATGAAAAGGTCTTTTGATTCTGTATCTTGTGATTTTCTAGCATGTACAGTCTCCATGGTGCTACAGATGACCCATAATCACTTCATCTTGTGGGTGTTACACCCATTCACCATGCCACTTTTATTAAATTCTGACCTGGTCAGAATGCTAAAATCATGGCAAGTCAGAGCTGGAAGGGACCTCGAGAGGTCTGCTAGTTCAGCTCCCTAATTTTGTTAGTGGGGAAACCGAGACCCAGTGAGGGTTGAGTGTTTAACGGCAAAAGTGGGACAAGAACCCAGATGTCCTGACCCCCCAGTCCAGTGCTCTTACAGTCAGCTAGTATGTGGCTTTTTAAATATGAAATATTTATGATGGTTTCTAGTTGTTGTTTTCAGGGCGTCATGTGGCTTAAACCTCTCTTTGTAATAGCTGTTTAAAAATCTATCTTGTGAATCCAATCCTGCTTTTTGTTTTCTTTTTGCTGTGGGCTGTGGTGGAAACTTTCTCCTTTTTTCCCTTAAGTTTAGGTCAAACTGTGTGAAAAATCTTTGTTGTTTGTTATTTTAAATGATGTACTGTATTACCGTTTACATGAACATTCTCCTGCAGGTGCTCACAAGTGCCTTGCATCAGGGATTAGTAGGAATCAATTATATTTTCACAAGAACTATGTAAAGCATGTGACTAGGTATTGCTATAGTATGTAACTATTGTAGCTTTACAATAGCCTTGTTTTTAATTTAAAGGGGAGGGAAATACAGTCTATGGATTTGTCAGACATCTGCTGTAGAAGTGAGTATTGGAAATATTTAATCAATGTGATACAGCATTTTCATGAAAAACAGGAAATCTGTCTGGCTGTTAAATTGTCTTACTTAAGATGGTCTGGAGCTTTTTCATTAAATGGCAATGGAAAAGATTTTAAATTCTTTCGAAAGTATGCCAGTTTTGACAATAAAAATAGAGGAATTCTGTCTCTTTGTTGTCTCTTTGTTGTATGAGATTTTAACATTTTATTCACCTTATTCTATCTTCAGTTTTGGTCAAAAACCCTCTACTTAATTGAAAGTGTATTAAATGATACATCTTTCTCCCCCCCAAAAAAGAATAAATTGAGAAAATCCAGAAACCATTAAATATTTAAATGTAATAGTTCTTCGGAAGACTAGAAACTCGTAACTTAGAAAGAAAAACGCCTCATCTTTGGTGTGAAATCTTAAACATATGGGGTTAAGAAATCTTTAATTTTCTAATTTTATTAATCCATGAAGGTGTTTGTTTGTCTTTGAAGATCAGGCTAAGCAGCTGAATGTTAATATTCCAATGTACCAATTTCTTTCCAACCAGATACTTAGACAATCTTGATTTTTCCCTAAGGGAGTACTTTAGAGAGGAAAAAAAGAGTAAATCCATTTCTGCTTCCCATAGTATGAGTCTCAAAGGCCTTCTTTGTCAAATGAAGGTGAATTATGACTCAGATGTGTTGAACAAATGCTCATAAAAATAATCCACTCAGGAGCTGCAAGTTTGTGCAGCGAAAGTGAACACGCCATTCATGTCCTTGTATCAGCTCCCTCCACGGTTAAGTTTGAATTTTCCAGAAGGGTCAGGGATGAACCAGCTTTCCCAGAGGTCAGGATGGACACTAGGGAAGTCCCAAGGTTTGTGCCTTCCATTCCAGTGAAGTAATTTAGCCTCCTGAAGAAAGTGCTCAGAGTACCTGGCGTCTGCGCTCCAGCCTTCAGGTGTGTTTGGGAAGAAAGGGAGAGAAGCAGCCGATTAGCAGGCACTTAAAAATGCAAACTAGCTGTCAGTCGACTTCGGCCGGACTGTGCCAAAGTGCTCATTCAATAGCAGGAGAGTCAAGGAAGCTCTGGGAGTTTGTGCCAGAGATTCGCTTCTGACCTGCTTTAGCCCTAGAGCCCTAGATTAGGGGCGGAAAAGACCTTGGAGACCACCTAGTGCAGCCCCTCAATTTACAGGAGAGGAAACTGAGGCTATTGAGCTAAGTGACATACCACTGGCCACATAGAAAGTAATCATCAGAATGGTAACAGTAGCAAACGACCCTGGGAGGAAGGTGCTGTTAGTATCCCCATTTCATAGACGAGGAAACAGACAAGCAGGTGAAGTGACTTGCCTGTGGTCACGCTGCTAGTGAGTTGGAGTCAGATTTCAAACTCAGGTCTTCCCCAACTCCTGTGCCACCTGGCCATTACATTAGAGGTTGGGTCGTAACTTACAGAGACAGTGCCCTTCCATACACACACGTACGTGTGTATGCATAGGTATTTATGTATATATGTAGGTATGTTATATCTATACACTACTAATGTAAATATGTACGTGTGAATATATGTATGTGCATGCACATGCTGTACACAAGTGTCTGTGTGTATATGTATCATGTGTGTGCACACGTACACAAATGTATGTTTATTATATCTGTATGTACATGTGTGCCATATAATGTGAACATATACGTGTATGTTTGTGTATATGCATGTACGTGTATATACACATATGCACGTGCATACCAGGGCAGCTAGGTGATGCAGGGGATCGAGTGCTAGGCCTGTAGTCGGGAAGACCCTTGGCAAGTCACTTCCACTGTCTGCCTCAGTTTCCTCCTCTACAAGACGGACAAGAATGGCACCTACCTCATAGGTTGTGAGCGTTAAATGAGATAATACTTGTAAAGCGCTTAGCCCAGTGCCTGGCACATAGGCACTTAATAAAGGTTTCCTTCCTTGCCTCTTTCCTCTGTACCACTCTACTTCCAATATTTAAACAAACACAAACTAGACATGACTTGACTAAATGCCCCATATGATTTTTGTAGCAGGTACTGTTATCCTGTGGAGCCATCACGATAGAGCTGTAGGGCCCCACTTTCTCCCAATTCTCAGAACATTTTGCAAGCATCATTTGCAATTAAAGTTAGGGCATTTTTCTGGGTCAGAAATCTACAACCTCATGCCTACAATTGTCAGAGCCCAACTAATGCCCCTCGGCATGTTTGGTCTTGGTGGTGCCAGGACTGCTGTCTGTCCTGTTCTGTCGAGGGCGCGCCCCTTCCCCTCAGTGGTGTGGACTCTGTCTTACCCAGGTGCCTGATGTGCCACATTGGATTGATGTGGGAGTGCTTCCCATAAAACACAATGAGCATGGGGGAGGTGGCCACTCCACCCCCCAGAGAGCTGCTATAGAGATTCTCCCTAGGAAAAGAAAGAAGATTGTGACGTGAAACCTGGAGGTCAACAAGCTTGGAAGGAAGGTGACGTGTTTAACCAAAACAGAACAGTTCTGCCACCTCAGAACACACTGGAAATCTGGTTTTTAATTTTGAGTGTTAAAGGCTTCTTGAGGCAAGTGCTGCCATATTAAATGATTTGACCATCACAATAAACTCATTTTTCATTAGAATGTTCATTAGAACATTCCCAGATTTACGGTATTTCTCAAGCTTTTATTTCTCTTTTGTATGCCTAAGTCACAAATACTCAAAAGGATTTATGATCTCAACATGGTAACCCATCTATGCCTGCCTATCTTGTGTAACTTTTATGGCCTCCCATGAGCTTGCCCCAGCGATCCATGCAGGGTGCTGGAGGACTCCTCATTTTCTCCTTACATCATGGGCTCATCAGAGGAGCACTCTGACTCTCCGCCTGTCTTTCTTGCCTTTAAAAGGAAAACAAACAAAAGCCACCCAGGAGCGGGTTCAAATGGGCCAATCTTACATAGAGTTAGGAGTAGAGACCAGTCCTGTGATTTCTCTGATGTGGAGAATCCCTACATGAGAAAGCTCTGCTCACTGCAGAGATGCACCCTGTCACACTGCCTGAATACATGGACTTGAATCCACAAATTCCCGGTCCAGAGGTGAGCTCTCTGGCCATTACTCCCAATACTCTTAAAACACAGATTCTTTAATATTCTTTTTTTTTCTATAATAGATCTAGTGTTGGAAGGGGTCTTCCGAGGCAGCTAGTCCAAATCCCTCATTTAACAGATGAGGCCCACAAACATTAAGTAATGTGCCCAAGATCATCACATAGGCTGCTTATTAGCCCAATTTCAGCATATGTCTGATTTCTCTGATTTAGAGTATTTGTGTATTTTCGTCAGTTCATTACCCAGCTCGTATACTCAGAAAATGTTTGGGCTAGTAGAAACCTTTGACATCATTTACTCCAAACCCCTCGTTACATCCTACAAAAGTCATCCAAGAAGTGAACAGTGAACTGAGCAGTTTGGCCCCCCGGATGAAAGAGAGCCCACGTACGCCACATTTCTCTGCATCCACTTCTCTAGTTGTTTGGTGATGCGCTGGTGCTTCCATTCGGTCATGTTGGCAACAATCACGCCAGGATTAAAAGAGCAGGTGCCGGGGCTGATGCCAAGGTCTTTGATTGCCTTCTTTCGGTAGTCCAGAAATCCCATGTATGTATTCTACAAAGGAATATGGATTTTGGCTATGAGCCAGACTGAGCAGATTGTTTCCAGAAAATTATCAGCTCCTTGAAGTTATAATGAGACATAAGGCAGATGACATCTCACCCCTCATGGCACCATAATTTACCCCCATTCATGCTGTTTCACTTCTGCTGTTATGAAATGGATAGGCTGGGTCTTTTAAATAATAACTCATGCCTACAGGACACTTTTAGTTTACAAAGGACTTTGCTCACTATGACTGTACGAGATTGGTTCCAAGTAGTACACCCTCAGGGCTGATGTGGTCTGCACCTGGTCTTACCATTGGGACCTGATCCAAGACCAGTACTCTATCCCGTATATTATGCAATGTCTTTTAAATTGTTTCATACATAAATAATTAGTAGCAAAAATGTGTAGATTAGAGTCCATCCTTAAAATAAACATAAGTTAAATCCAGTGTTTTGGATCATATAGAAATGTAAAGGGTTTTGTTGGTGTTTATCTTTATCTTGGAGATAACCATGTTGTCTAACCCTTTCATTATACGTGCAAAGAAACTGGAGATGTCAGGCTTGGAGGACAGGCAACTTGGGGGGAATGTGGTCACTGTCTTCAAGCATTGAAAGGACCACCATTGGAAGAAGGATTCGATTTATTCTGCTTGGCCCTGGAATTCAGAACAAGGACCAACAGATGGAAACCACAGAGAGACAGATTGCAACTCAGTCTAAGGAATAACTTCGTAAAGGCTGGGAATGGCCCAAAATGGAACGGACTACTTTGGGGAATAGGGAACTCTCCTTCACTTGAGGTCTCGAAGCCATTGCTAAATGACCATAGTTAGGAGCGGTAGATACAAGACTTTGAGAGAGGCAGAATTCTGTTGTAAAGGGGATGCTTTTTGAGGGTTAGGCCAGACATGGGGTTGGCGTAGGATGTCCCTTCCAACTCTTTCTTTAATGGTTTAAAAAATACTTTCTTAATTTGGAACTCAAAATTTGAAGGGAAAAAAATGTCAACATTGTTTTTATATGTAATTGGGGCAAGAAATATTACATTTTTAAAAATAAAAATACTTTCTTCATAATAATCTGATGGAGTAGATAGTGTTAGTAGTTTTATCCCCATTTTAAAGATGAGGAAGCTAAGGTTTACAAAGCATGTGACTTTGGAAGTCACCTAGCTAGTAAATGACCAATCTGGGACTCTAAATCAGATTCTCTCTGTCCAAATCTGGTCCATTTTCCAGCATACTATACTGCCTCCTCTAATCGAGTAGATTAGATCATCTTCAGGGTCCTTTCCAACTCTAGACTTCTAGGATTCCATGGAACTGAGAGGGTGTGAGTAGATTGTGTCTACGTGGCTTGTGTGGTGGCAAAGCCAGCGCTAGAACCCAGCCTAGAGCTCATGTTTTTCATTATTCATTTGTTCCAAGTGTCTCTTTACTCCTGTCCTCCAACAGCCACCAGTCATTTTCCCAAAGCTCAGGTCTGGCTATGTCAACCCTAGTCAATATACTCCAGTGGCTCCCT